GGGTGTTGAACAATGAGAACACATGGACACAGGGAGGGGAGCACTACACACTGGGGTCTGTTGGGGGGAAATGGGGGAGAGACGGGGGGTGGGGAGGTGGGGAGAGATAGCATGGGGAGAAATGCCAGATACAGGTGAAGGGGAAGAAGGCAGCAAATCACACTGCCATGTGTGTACCTATGCAACAATCTTGCAAATTCTTCACATGTACCCCAAAACCTAAAATGCAATTTAAAAAAATAGAAGAGAAAAAATTTCTGCCTAATGCAAAGTTCTCTGAACTGACTGTACCATGGACTATACCATGGTGACCCCTGTGACCCACACATACACCTCCAGATGGCCTCCTGGAGCCAGAAAGCCTAAGGTAACAGAAAAATCACAAAAGAAGAAGAATAGCTAGCTCCTGCAGTGCTTGATTAACCCACCTTGTGACATTCCACCATTGCTCCTGCCTCAACCATTCCTGCCTCAACTGATAAGTCAACCTTGTGACACCAGACTTCTGACACTGCCCCCACCAGCACCCATCTGGCTTGCAAAAAGTGCCCTGAACTATAACTTCTGTAACTTTCCACTGCCTACCCCAAATCTATAAAACCAACTCCTATCCCTCTGCCCTTCACTGACTCTCTTTTCTGACTCAGCCCACTCACACCCAGCTGAATAAAACAGCCTTGTTGCTCACACAAAGCCTGTTTAGGTGGTCTCTTCATTCACAGTGTGCCTAACACCTCTCATATTGGAAATTGCTGTAGGGTTGAGTTTGGGAGATGGACTGATTGATTGAGACAGAGTCTCACTCTGTCACCCAGGCTGGAGTGCAGTGGCATGATCTCTGCTCACTGCAATCTCCGCCTACCAGGCTCAAGCAATTCTCGTGCCTCAGAGTCCTGAGTAGCTTGGATTACAGGTGTGTGCAACCACACCTGGTTAATTTTTGCATTTTTAGTAGAGATGGGGTTTCACTATGTTGGCCAGGCTGGCCCTGAACTCACCTCCTCAGCCTCCCAAAGTGCTATGATTACAGGCACGGGCAACCATGCCCAGCCAGGAGTTTTATTTTTAGTGAAGACCTGTAATTAATCATTTACTTTACCTTCAACGTAGAGATTCACCCTAACTTTTCCAGGCCCAAACACTTTTCTCATAGTTTTTTCATAACTTTGCTACAGTATTTCTCATCCTTACCCGGATAACTGTTTCAGAAAAGATGAGGTAATGTGGACAGTGGAGGCAAGGCCTCTGTCACAACCCAGGCTTCAACAGCTCCAGCACACACAGACAAAAGCCCTTGTGGACATAAAACTGCTCAACATCCAGGTGGATGAGGATTAGGATTAGCTTATTATTATTTTTTTTTAGGATGGAGTTTCGCTCTTATTGACCAGGCTGGAGTGCAGTGGTGCAATCTCAGCTTACTGCAACCTCTGCCTCCCAGGTTCAAGTAGTTCTCCTGCCTCAGCCTCCCAAGGTAGCTGGGATCACAGATGTGTGCCACCATGCCAAGCTAATTTTGTATTTTTAGCAGAGACAGGTTTTCTCCATGTTGGTCAGGCTGGTCTCGAACTTCCAACCTCAGTTGATCCACCCACCTGGCCTCCCAAAGTGCTAGGATTATAGGCGGGGCCACTGTGGGTGGCCAGGATTAGCATTCTTGACCACACTACACCTCTGGCTACTGTCCTCAAACCAAATTATTTTATAACAAAATAGAAAAATAGAAATTTAAAAACTATTATTGCCCACAAAGTAATAGATAACTATTTGACAATTAGGTGTTTCTTCGTCCCCTGCAGACGGTGTGGACCTCAGGGCTCCTGAAGCCTCATAGGCCCCAACTGATTTCCCTCCACAAAATCCACAGCCCTCAAGTTGGGCCCATGGCTATCTGTACACAGGTATTACCACATTAATCGCCACATTTGTAATGTACTTGTGTGTCTATTTTTCTTTCTTTTTTTTAATATAGGTCTGTTTCTTTAGATGGATTTTAAACTCTGAATTCATAGAGGTCATGAGTTCATTTAAATTCCCCGCTATATATTCTGTGTAGTGCTGGATGCACAGTATTACATAATAAATTATTGCTGAAGTTATTAGTCTTGTAACAAACTCCCTGACGACATGGACCTTTATCATGTATACATGCTATACATAGATAGACGATCAAGAAAGAAACAAACGTGATAGTATATTTCACTCCATACATCTCAACATATCATGTTTCCATTGTAATCTATGTCTACATCCTATGTCTCACATTTTCCTCACTTTCTCCATTCCCATGGCCATGTGCCTGCTCCAGTTTTCAGATTAAGAATTGTTAAAATGTCTTCACTCACTTCCACTTCTAATCTAAATGTGAAAAACTTTCAGGACTATGGGGAAGTCACCTAACCTCTATAAGCCTGTTTCCTTAACTGCAAAAAGAAATAATATTATAATAGTGCATAGAGGTAATGACAGTGAACGTAGTGGCTGTAATAACTGAATTGAAATGCCTGAGAATAAAGACAGTTGTGCATCTTATGTGAATCCATAACACTGTGCATAGTGTTGGCATCTAACAACCATGTTGGCTGGTCCACAAAACAAGCAAAAAACATACATTATTTTTTTTCTAATTGATCGAAGGCATACCCCAATGACGCCAATTCCTTCACCGCTGCTACTTCGCAGGTAGATCTGTTCCTTGGTTTTCAAATGCAGAAAGATCACTTGGTTCCCAGCTATGTACATTGCGATACTGTCATCCAGAAGTTGCAGGTTAGCTCGCTTTCTGCAGTCATAACCAAAAGAATGTCTGAGGGAAGCTGCTAAGGAAAAGAAGTGAAAAACAACACCATCCCAGGGATTGGAAAAGTGAAGAAATGTATCTTAGATGAAGATATGAGGTTGAAGTAGTTGAATTTTACCCTGAAACTCATGATTTTTCTATGTATCACTAACAATTTTGTTTTTAAATTAGGTGAGAAAAAAAAGGCCTGAACAGGAAAAAAACAAACAAATAAATAAACAAATCAGGTGACTATCCCCATACTCTGATTTAGTTAATATTTTAATTTTCCTGGGGAATCCTGAGAGCCCATTAATTGTTTTTGCAAAAATAAATAAGGATAAACCTATTTGGGTACCACAGACAGCAAAGTTGTCACCTAGATAATTTTATTTTCCTATCTTCCACTAAAACTAAATCATGCTGTATAACATAGGAGAAAGTCTTTATCTTCATCGCCTTTGTATTCACAATGCCTGCTAAATTTGTTGACTAACCATAATAAAAATATTATGTAGGCAAATTCTAACATGTTTGTAAAATTCTAACACACCATTTGATAATATGATTATAATAAATTCACATAACTAAAATTTAATTCATATCAACAAATTATGAAAATTGATTAATATATAGCATATAAATATATACGTAATTAACTAAGATTTCTGAGCTTATTAGTATATGTATGGGTGTGTAGGTAAGTAGCATGTGTATGTGTTTGTGTGTATGTATGCTATAAAATTGTACTGATTCAAAATAGAGTGGGATCTACTAAACTAGAGTTTCTGTACAGCAAAATAAACCGTCAACAGATTAAACAGCCAACCTACAGAACAGGAGAAAAAATTCCCAAACTATGCATCTGACAAAGGGCTAATATCCAAAATCTGTAAGAGACTTAAAGAAATCAACAAGAAAAAAATAACCCCACTAAAAAGCAGGCAGATGACTTCAATAGACACTTTTCAAAAGAAGACATACAGGCAGCCGACAAACATGAAAAATGCTCAACACCACTAATCATCAGTGAGACGCGAATCAAAACCACAATGAGATACTATCTCATACCAGTTCAGAAAGGCTATCATTAAAAAGTCAAAAAATAAAGAGATGTTGTTGAGGCTGCAGACAAAAGCGAATGCTTATATGCTATTAGTGAGAATGTAAATTCGTTCGGCCACTGTGGAAAGCGTTTGGAGGTTTCTCAAAGAACTAAAAATAGAACTACCATTCAAACTAGCAATCCCATTGCTGGGGATATACCCAAAGGAAAATCATTGTACCAAAAAGACACATGCACTCATATGTTTATTACAGCACTATTTATAACAGTGAAGACATGGAATCAACCTAGATTCCCATCAGTGGTGCACTGGATAAAGAAAATGTCGCATATATACACCATGAAATACTATACAGCCATGAAAACAATGAAATCATGTCCTTTGCATCAGCATGGATGCAGCTAGATGCCATTATCCTAAGCAAATTAATGTAGAAACAGAAAACCAAATATTGCATGTTCTCACTTATAAGTGGGAGCTAAATATTGGGTACACACAGACATAAAGACAGGAACAACAGATACTAGGGATTCCAAAGCGGGGAGAGGGAGGGGACAAAGGCTGAAAACCTTCCTATTTGGTACTATGTTCACTTGTGGGAGATGAGATCAACCAAAGCCCTAACGTCAGTATCACACAATATATTCTTATAATAAACCTGCATGTGTACCCTCTGAATCTAAAATAAAAATAATTTTTAAAAAAAGAGGTATACAAATCTAAGTTATATAAAACATATTTTAAATGCATATTGCTAGTAAGTTTGTCAAAATTAATATACCCAAAATATAAATATAATAAGCAAGTTAAGTGAAACCAATCTATGAAAAAAATTAGAGTTGACAAGAGAAGCATATCCTATAGTGTAGCTTAAGTAGATAGATTCTTTGTTCACAAGAATTTGTTGCTGAACATCTAAGTTGAAGGATCACTGGAGGAATTTGTATTTCTTGTGCCCTTGTTTAAAAACAAATTGTGATTTTTGAGGATTCCACTTATTCGTAAGTACAAATTTTCATAGAAAGAAATATTAAAATTTAACAACAAAATGTAGAATGTAAAAAGAGAAGAGAGATTTAAATTAATGCAATTTAAATTGTGAAATATAAGGAAATTATAACCAAGTATAAGCAGCCTCTCTCGTTACCAAATAGTTAAATTGAAAGACAGCCAGCCACGGTGGCTGACGCCTGTAATCCCAGCACTTTGGGAGGCCGAGGTGGGCGGATCACGAGGTTGGAGCTCGAGACCAGCCTGGCCAACATGGTGAAACCTCATCTCTACTAAAGATACAAAAAATTAGCTGGGCATGGTAGCACGCCTGCAATCCCAGCTACTAGGGAGGCTGAGGCAGGAGAATCACTTGAACCCAGGAGGCGGAGGTTGCAGTGAGTGGAGATTGCAGCATTGCACTCCAGCCTGGGTGGCAGGGTGAGACTTCATCTCAAAAAAAAAAGAGAAAAAAAAAGAGAGAAAGAGATCAAGCATTTCAGGGTAATGGATCTGTTCAAGGAAAAGAAATTTCATGTCTTTTTTCTTCTCTTCACACCACTACCCTCACCTTCCGTTCTTCCCTTCCTTTTTTTCCCTCTTCCCAGGTGGCAATATAATACCTCAGAGGGCTAAAAGCATGTTAGTAGCTATGAGAATAGAAATGGGTTACCATTTCTTCACTACCTTAGATGAAAGCAGGTATTGGAGAAATTATCATTTATCTAATATTATCATCTTTAATTTTAGCGGGAAAACTCCCTTTTACATGCTGCTGTCCTGATAAAAGGGCAAGCCAGAATGGGTCAGATTGGTAACTTCTCAAATTCTCACCCTCTAAATTACAGCTTACTGAGGGCAGAGGCTGCTTCTCTCCATCTCCATTTCCCAGAATGCCTAGCACGTTGTCTTCAGCCTATTAGTTATTCAAGAAATGTTTGTTGAATCAATTCATTAATTTGTACATAACTGGAATCTGATCCTTTCCTTTTTTTTTTTTTGGAGATAGGGTCTCACTTTGTCACCCAGGCTGGAGTGCAGTGACATGAACACGGCTCCCTGCAGCCTCAACTTGCCAGGCTCAAGAGCTCCTCCCACCTCAGCCCCCCAAGTAGCTAGGACTACAGGTATGCACCACCACATCTGGCTAATTTTTGTGTTTTTTTGCCATGTTGCCCAGACTGGTCTCGAATTCCTGAGCTCAAGTGATCTCCCTGCCAAGTCTCCCAAGGTGCTAGGATTACAGGCGTGAGCCACTGCGCCTGGCCTGATCCTTTCCTTTTAATCCCAGACACAGCAGCAAACCCTTAGTGGAGTTCTGAAAATCTTAAAATGTGTTTTGATGTACCTTCAGGGCTTTTTGTCTTATCTCACTCTCTTCTAGCTTGCCTCTTCTTAAATTCCTGTCAAAGACCCAGAGCTTTCAATGTTTGTCCATAGTCATCCAGGAACTTCACTTTAAAATTGTTTAAACCTTGTCAAGTTCTGTATAATGTCTTTTAAAATTATACCATGGTTTATGTGATACTTTATAAATGGCACATTTCTTGCTATTAAAAGAAAACTTAAAATTAAGTTTTCTTCAAAGCCAAATTAAATTTAACAGAGTTTAACTGAGCAAAGAATAATTCAAGAATTGGGCAGCCTTCTCAGCCAGAGTAGGCCCAGAGATTCCAGCCCAGCCACGTGCAGGAAGATTTATGGACTGAAAAAGCAAAGTGACATACGGAAAACAAAAATGAAGTACAGAAATACCAAACTCGTTACAGCTTGGCGTCTGCCTTATTTTAACACAGTTTCAATAGTTGGCCACCTTTGATTGACAAAAACTTGAGTAACTGGCTCAGAGTAGACTTGAGTCTAACTCCCTTTAGGTTATAGTTCACCATGTACAGCGAAACCTTTAGGCCAAACTTAAAGTATGTAAGGAGGCGGCTTCAGGCTAAACTTGATTTAACATTGCTAAAATTTAAAAGACATAAATTTAAAAACTGAATTAGAATCAATATATTAATAATCATTAAAGGGTTAATTAAAAGAGTACTTAGGGAATGCATGATGGCTGACTTGTTCCTCCTAGGATTCCTCACAAGATACAGAGATTATATTTGTTCCATCTCCAGAGAACAGAACTAAATCTAATGGGGAGCATCCCATCGAGGCAGGATTTTATTCAAGGCCCAAAAACCTCTCTAGTGAGACATCCAAAAGTGGGGTAAGCTACTCTGTGATTTTTTTGGTGTTGAAAATGTTTAAGAAAAGGCTATAGTTTATACAACCACCAATCTAGCATGAACAGAGAGAATTCATATATTGGAATAAAAGTTGAGGTTCTTCTGACTCTGCTGTTTAGAATCTAGGCATGTTTCTCTAATACAGACCCTCCCGTCCTGGAACAGTGACAAGGCGGCTCACTGCCAAACCATCTCGGAGAGTTTTTCCAGAGTACATATACCCAAGTCTCTCTCCACACAGAACTAGCATAGTAGGTCCAGGAAGGCATCAGAGCATTGTGTACTTTAGGAAAAACTTCCAGGGGATTCTAACATATCACCCCACCCCATTTGGGGAAAAAAAAAAGGCTAAAAGGAAGTAAACAGCATAACTTTTGTCAGAAACTTGTCCAAAGACAAGGGAAAAAAAAAGCCATGAAGAGAGAAAATTCCAGGTTACAAGATAATTCAGCATGAATTAGTTTAGTCACAGCTGGGATTTAACAACATGTTCTATTTTTATGTTTTCATGTAAAAAGCAAAACTGAGTCAGTGAGTATTGTAAGTATTCACTATCTCTGTAAGTATTCCTTATGTAAGAGGCCAGTCAGTGGTTTCGGCCATGTGGTAACAAGCACTAACTGTCTAAAAGGCGAGCCCAGTAATTTGCCGGCTACGGACCTCAATGGAAACTGTCCTCTAACTACCTGCATCACAAGCCTAGCATCACCATGTGATGGCAAACACTAAATCCCCTTGTCAATTATCCCCAGTTCCACATATCTCCAAAGGCTCTTATTCTCCAGACCAATAAAAACTTGCTATTTTGTGCCCTATTTCCTAAGAATTGTCTTCTCTGACAGTTCATCTGATACATAATGTGAAAATACTAATGCCTTGCAATGGACAGACACATAAGTGTTTCAGGAAGGGAAATCCATGACTTAACAGGCAATGGCAAAAGTAAATGGGAATAAGATGCCGTCTGGTTTCCTTCACTCAGGTCTCATGAACTGCAGTCTTTCCACTTGTGCAAAGGACAGCCAGAAAAACATCATTTCTCTGTATGGTTATTTGGCATCAAACAAAAGCTTAGCTTAAATTAAGATCATGCATTTCTATCAAATTTCTAAGAATTCAAGCTTCTTAGAACTACCTAAGATGGGCTGGCACACTTTTAAAGGGCAGGTAGTAAATAGTTTTGGCCTTGTGAGCCAGATGGTCTCTGTCACAGCCACTATGTCTGCCCTTGTTGTGTGATGGCAGCCATAATAAACGAAATGTAAGCAAGTGAATGTCACTATGTTGCAATAAAATCTGATTTACAAAAACAGGTGGGAAGGCAGATTTGGGCTCCCTGGGCTGTAGTTTGCTGACCTCTGACCTAAGAAATGAAAATCCCAAAATTATACATAATTGGCCAGGGTGGATACACGAGCGTGAGAAGGTCCAGTGGTATGTTTGAATCCGAAGTCACAAAAGGCATCGAAGCAAGCTCCATATAATCATAGAAGAAACTCTCTGATATTTTCTTTTTAACTTCCTCCTCTGCCTCTTCCGCAGCTGGAGCAGGGGGTTGCTGAGATACTAAAAAAATAAAATAATTTAAGAAGAGTGATATGGTTTGGCTGTGTCCCCACCCAAATCTTATCTTGAATTGTAGTCCCCATAATCTCCACAAGTCGTGGGAGGGACCTGGTAGGAGGTAATTGAATTTTAGGGGCTGTTACCTCCATGCTGTTCTCATGATGGTGAATGAGTTCTCACATGATCTGATGGTTTTATAAGGGGCATTTCCCTCCTTCACTCTACACTTCTTCCTGCCATCATATGAAGAACATGTTTGCTTCCCTTTCTGCCATGATTGTAAGTTTCCTGAGGCCTCCCCAGCCATGCAGAACTGTGAGTCAAATAAACCTCTTTCCTTTAAAAATTACCCAGTCTCAGGTATATTTTTATTAGCAGCATGAGAACAAACTAATACAGAGTGTCTAGTGAATACAAAATTGTATTTCCCAGGGACAGGAGGAATGTACACAGCCTGCAATACTCTTGCCGTAAGTACTACCACTGGCCTGAATATAGGACACAGTCATCAATGAGCATGGAAGGAAAAGCCATCATGCCCACATGCATCTGGAGTAAATGCTGAGCTCTGGTCATGGCACAACAGTCCCCAAGGGCAACTCCCAATTACTTCCAAGGGAGAGGTGAACTCCCACTAATGTGTAGTAGAGCTGTTTTTATACCTTCTCAAAACCCAGAAGAATGAGTATGAGAGTTCTGTATGTGATCCTCAGAAATAAAAACCACAAGTCTCGGGCTGCTAACATACTCTACCGAAATATGCACAATACTTGTCCTTTTATCATTCCCACACATACATACATCCTGTAGATTTTTCTTTCTATAGATTTATAACTGTTCAATTTATCTGGCTATTTGTCTTTAAAACAGTGACAATTACTGGTAGAAAACTAATAATACCTACCTGTAGTGCTTTGCAAATCTTCATACTGAAATGAACTCAAACTTCCTTCCAAATGTTCCTCATCTGAGTCTTCATCTAAATATGGTTCTTTCCCTTCAGTCAACGTTTCGTCTGTGGCTTCTTCTAAAAGTTTGTTATCTTCTTTAACAGGAGCTATTAAAATTTGTTTTAATAACTTCTAAATTTTGATTAAACATTTTCTTATTTCTAAAATAGCTAAAACTTCTAATTTGCTTGTGCTCTAGATGTAATAAATTTTAATACATACTCAAAAATTTCTAGAAGAATCATTTTATTTGGTCAGTCTTGTAACTTTACAAAATAGAAAAGCCTTTTCTGTTTGTTAACCTCCATTTTCACTTGATTTCCAATCTATTTCCTATCACTAAATACTTAGAGGAAGGAAAAGATAAAGAAAAAAAAGAGAGGTTAGTATGCTGCTATCATAATTTCAACTAAATTCAATTTTACCAATTCAATTTTTATAGGGAATCTGTTATGTTAAAGACAAATAAAGCTTATTGAAGCATAACTCTCTGAGTATGATGCTTTTGCTTGGAAGTGGTATCCCAGGAACATGTTGGAATATTGGCTTTAGGACAAGCTGGGAATGGGAACTGGAATATGAGTAGAATGGCCCCAGGTATAAGCCAACATTCAGATCAAGTCCAAACATGGAGATGGTTAAAATAGACAATGCCAAGCAGGATGGGTATACTTTCATATAGGGCTTGGTGAACTTTCAGAAGAACAAGGAAGAAATAGCAAGTGTACTACTAGGTACCAGAGCTACATAGTAGATCTGAGATGAGCCTAAAAGATTAGGAACAACACCCAAGACTAATATGAATAAGACAGAAGAGCTGGGCCAAGCCAATTAGTTGCAGAATGGGACAGAGTTCCTTAGGATTCATGTATCTGGATGGCAAGAAAGTAATCCTGGGTACCTAAAGCGGCCAAACACACAGCTTGGATCCCCCAAGGGAGGGTCCTAGAGAACTATGCTCTAATAATACCTTAGCTCTTTCTTGTGACTGGGGCAACCAAAGACTATTTCCTCATTTCAAGATTAGGGCACTACAAGAGTAACATTCCTCCTAGCCTCTGGCTTCCCTGGAAAAGGAGCTAGAACTGATAGATGAGGTAGGTGATCACTGATTAACGAATTGAGAGTGAATACAGATGAAGGAGAGGAGGTATCAAAGAATAATGGGGATTCAGAGCCTGGGAAAAGCGTGGTGCCACTGATAGAAAACTGGACTTTGGAAAGCAAACAAACAAACAAAAACTAATTTGCCAGGAAGTGGGCACATTAAATCAAGCTGGCAAATCAGCACACTTAGGCAACTTTGTGAGAGCTGGATATTTCTATAATTTTTATAATCCTAAAATAGACTGGTTGAAGACTTATGGTTTGAAGAATAAATCAGTATTTGCCTTTCCATTCTTGGAAATAATCTAAAATCAACATTGAGAATAAACGCCAAAAACACAAACTCCGTTTTTTGGTAGTACTAGAAGCAGTTAAAACCCCAAATCACAAATGGATGGCAGGACCACTGGCAAAAAGGCTGGCAGAATTAGTGGAGACTGAACAAGGATGGGTACAGGAGAAAGCAATGGAAGGTGACCAAGGAGGTAGGAAGGCCATAACTGTAGATATTCAAAAGAACCTGCTGGGATTTTGGCTGTATGACCCACAATTCCATATGTGAGTTTCTTCCATTTGTTTGTTTGTTTGTTTCCTCCAGCCAATGGATGTAGGAAGCTTTGGGATCTCTCCTCTCCAGCCACCACAGAGATACTGCTTCCGGCAAACAGTTTGCCTCTAGGATTCCTTATTTACCACTACCTTTCCATGAGATTCACAACACTATAAGAAAGCCTACAAATGCTATGGTTGCACATACATAAAAATCTATAAGAGCTACTTTATAAAAAATTCATAAGAACTAAATTATAATGTATTGTAATTTTGAAGAGTTCAGTACGATTACTGTATAAAACAACAATACACAAAAATTAATAGTAGGCATATCTACTTTGGCTATTATGAAATAACTAGTACCAGGCTGCTCTCTTACTATGATTGTGGAATTAGTTTTTCTTTAATTCTATTTTTGCTTTGTGTATTGTGATGCTGTTACTAGGTGCACACATATTTATGAGTATTATGTTTTCTTATTAATTGATCTTTTTATCCTTATGAAATGCCCCTCTTTGTCACCGGTAGTTCTCTTTACCTTGAAGTCTATTTTATCTGGTATAAATATAGCCACTCCAGCCTTGTTATGCTTACTTTTTGCATGATATATCTTTTTCCATCCATTTACTTTCAACCTATTTGTGTCATTATACTTAATGTATATCTTCTATAAGCATCATATAGTTGGTTCTTATTTTTATTAGCCACACGGATAATCTCTGCCTTTTTATATTAATGTTCGGTTAACTAATAATTAATGTAATTATTGATATGGTTGGATTTTAATAACATAAGCATGCGAAATTAACAAATAACATTTGATAATTTATTTTGTGTTTTTCTCCTGCTAGTTTTTTCCCTCTTTTTCTCCTTCCATGTTTTCTTTTAGATTATTTACTCTTTAGTATTCTATTTACATTTCTGTTGGCTTTTTATCAGTTCTGTGTTTTATTAGTGGTTGCTTCAGAGATAATATATAACAACTTTTCACAGTCTACTTAGAGTTACTATTAATTATAGTAACACACATATTTCAGCAATTGATAGAACAACTAGTCTAAAACTTAGTAAAGACATAGATGATCTGAACATCACTATCAACCATCTTGACCTGGCATTTCTAAAACACTACATCTACCAATACAGGATGCACATTCAAGCACACATGGGTCATTTACCAAGACAGATCACTTGCTTGGACATAAGACCAGTTTTAATACATTTAAATAGATTGAAATCATATAGAATATATATGTTCTCTGAAAACAACAGATGTAAGTTAGAAACCGGTAATGATTAGATACCTGGAAAAAAAAGTCAAATATTTGAAAATTAAATTACACAATAAAAATAATGCATGGGTCAAGGAGAAATCAAGAAATTAAAAAATTTTTCAAATTATTATTAAAATACAATATATTAAAATTGAGATACAGCTAAAGCAGTCTTTGGAGGGAAATATAGCTTTCAATACATATATAAGAAAAAAACAAAAGTCAAAAAAAATCAATGGCCTAAAGTTTCACCTCAAGAAACTAGAAAAATAAATGAAACAACAACAACAAAGTAAATTAGCAAAGCCAAACTCTTAGTCTTTGGAAAGATAAACAATATTGACAAGCTCCTAGCTAGACCAATGAACAAATGAAAGCGAAACAACATATATCTCCAACATCAAGAATGAAAACAGATCTTACAAAGTTATGTCAACAAATTTGACAATTTAGAAGAGAAGTGAGCAAATTCCATTAAAGATACAAACTTGCAAAACTTAGTAAAGAAGAAACAGACAGCCATCTGTTTAAAAAATTGAACTCATGGTTAAAATTTTCCCACTAATTAAGAAAATTCCAGGCCCAGACAGCTTTACTGGTAAATTCTACCAAGCATTTAAGGAAGAAATAATACCAATTCTACACAAAATATTTCTGAAAATAGAAAAGAACAAAATACTTCCCAAAATTATTAAATAAGGTCTGTAATAATTTAGTCCTTTGATAAGACTCAGAAATCAATGCCTTAGTAACTAACAGTCCTTCACCCTTGCGAGAAATGATGGATGGTTTATCTGGCACATTCGACCTAAATTTCTTAATAGAACTCAGAGATAGCAGAAACCTCTTACTAAGTATGGGGACAAGTCTACTCCAACTTCTTTGCTTGGGTGGAATACAAGGACTTTTATTCATTCTGCATGAGAATCCCAAAGAGTAAAAACTTGCCCTGAAGTGTTAGCAAGGCTGAGAGCAAATCAAGGCTTTGCCAGGGGTGGGGGGAATGCAGCTATCCAGGTATGAGGCTGAACCAGGAGAGAGACCTCTTCACACAGCAACAAGATACAGGATATTTAAAATGCCAGAAAATAATTTCACATTATCATTTGGGATTCTAAGACTGACGATGTGTGAACTAATTAACGAGCTGAGCACTGGGCCAGGTCACACTTGAAAAGGTCTGCCCCTAGGAGGGCCTGATCCTCAGGAAGGGAGGTCTTGAAGGCAGTGCTAGACAAAGGGTCATTATCATTAAATCCATCAAGGGAAAGGTGACAGTAGCATCCAGGAAAACACTGCCGAGGACTGGAAACCAACACATAGGCAATCCTCTATCAGAAATGCAGGGAGCACAGACAAATGAAAAAGGAAAAACAAGGAAGGAACAAACTAAAGTGTCTGAGGTAAGTGATATAATCAACTTTCTGGAAAGAACTCGAGTGGTGGTGTGGAGGGAGATCTGTACAGGAAGACTTAGACAAAAATCCACGTTGCAAGAGGGCAAACCAGAGAAGACAAATGCCTACAATAAAATATAATGTGGAGAAACTGTGCATTTACAAGACATGTCTGACAGATTAAAAGAAGTTAGTGCAAATTTTACATGTGTATTGATATTCTGAGGACCTCACTTGTCTAGGTGAACAGTCAAAACCAAATTTCTAAAATTATATTTAGGATTAGAACCTTAAAAAGTCAAGATTCCACTAAGATACCTAATATTGTGATAGTCAGAGCCAGCCATCTTTCAAAATTCCTAGTTATAAATTCCTCCTTTTAAATTCCATTGAAGTCTGTGAAATTCTTCTACATGTTATCCTATTCAATTCCTGAGTGACTCATAATTGTTGTTTTAATGGGTGAGAAAATCGAGGCTCAGAAAGACGCGATAATTTTCCCAAGATCAAGCATCTCTAAATGGTAGATCCAGGACTCAAAACGAAAGTCCAGGTCTCTTTCACTACACTGTATCAGAAAAGTCCATTAAAGACTTAGTAGCTCTCACAGGAGAACTCTAGACTACACGGGTGGATAGGTTATTCTCAACCTGTGTGCCAGGAGCTGTGATAAACAAGTCAAACCCAGACTGCTCTCAAGGAACTTTGAGTTTTGTAAGGGAAAACCATTTCTGTTCTATAACTCAGATATGCACTACTTAAAAATTATTTTGCTCACTTCATCTACTTTATTAAAAAAAAAAAAAAAAAAGAAGAAGAAAAAATTACTTTGCCTATTTTTTTGACTTTTTAGAAAATTTTTATTTTTATTGAAGTACATGCCCATAACTTAAAAAGTCAAGTAATGCTAAAAGACTTGTTTTTAAAATATTCAACTTAAAAAAATACTCAACTTTTCCCCGCTTAACAGCCTTCTCTTATCTTTCCAGAAGTATCACTTTTAGCTTTTAACCTTCTTTCTTCTGATACTTACCTCCATATTTCTAAACAATATGGCTACAATGCTCTCTCTAGTCACTTTTCGACAGTGTTTGTTGTGGGAGATTAAGAATGTTAAATCTCTATCACCACTTGCTATCTCTCTGCTTTGCAATATAATTAAAGCACTACAAAACTATAGTGAAGTCCATGCTTACTGTTTTTAGTATATTGGCTTCATAATGCTCATTCCTGAGTTAAGAATTTATTATTTCCTTCTTGAACAACCCACTTTTCTATAACTAATAATTATCTCATTTATTTTCACTTCTTAACTTTCTGGAATCTCCTGATAAGTCTTCCCACAGCTTGCCATAGTTCCATAAATTCCACTCAATTCAATTTTCTACCTCCATCTATCAGATAATCTACTTTTTAACATTTTTTAACTTTCCTGGAGGTGAAAATTCTCCTTTCCTTGCTTTAGTCATAAAAAAATTGCTCTCTGCATGGCTGCCCAGGTGTCATTCTGGGTGTTACCTTTGCCTCATTTTTATTTTGAATCTCTTATTTCCTGGACTCCATGTAGTTTTTTTTTCTTTGCTCACTCCATTATTTTTATGAAGCTCACCTTCCTACAGCTTTATGGGAAAAGGGACTATAAAAGATCTATTTTATAAGAGTCTACTCTTTCTATTCTACTATAAAAATTGACTCTTTGTTTACCTAAATGTAATACTTTTAAAAGTATATATGTATAATCTTTACTTACATCTTGATTCCGATTTAGAAGACCTCAGAGAATGCCTCCCATCACTCTTTGATCTACCTGATTTCTCCCCATCAGTATCCTGATCATCTGGTTCCTTCATTTCCTCTGTAAGTACAAAATTGGGATGAGAAATGGATAATGCTATAAAATAGAAATTAACAGATTTCCCCCTAACAAATTTCATAAGCACCAAACACCATGTGTGTGCACAGGATCCAGGATGACCCACCAGCAAGAGGGTCCAACTACCATCAGAGACCACTGATCTCTGCAAACAGCTAATTCTAATCACAGATTCTCCTTCTCTAGGTAAACTTGTCATTATGGTGCACTTTGGTTTTCCAGAGGTCCACAGTGAAACACATTACCAAAGTCCATCTTTTCCCCAAATGCTTCACCACGAAAATTAACCTTCTGCCATGCTATGTTGGTCCATCCCTCCCTCTCTCTCTTTCCATTTTCAAATTCTCTTGGAGTTACTTTTCAGTTTTTAAAATATTTTTTGAGCACACCTGCAGTGTATCAAGTTTTATGTTGGGTACTAAATTACGAAACTGGAAAAGAGAAATATGTCCCCTAATTTTATGGAGCTTGTTTAGAAAGGTAGATATTAAACAAGCAATTAATATAATGAGTGCTACAAAGAGGAAAACCTAGGGTGCTGTGGGCATATGTAGCAAGACGTGTAAAACATGACGGGAGGCTAGAGAAGAGGTGTTTGAGACATAGATGATGGTCAGGAGTTGGCCAGGCATAGAATGTGAAAGGTACGTTAGGCACATCAGAGGGCTGTAACTTTAAAGGGCTGCAAGCAGTCTATTGGCCAGAGTAGGAGAGTAAAATGGATAGCAAAAAGAATACACCATGGAATACTATGCAGCCATAAAAAAGACGAGTTCATGGCCTTTGCAGGGACATGGATGAAACTGGCAACCATCATTCTCAGCAAACTGACACAAGAACAGAAAACCAAACACGCATGTTCTCACTCAAGTGGGTGTTGAACAATGAGAACATATGGACACAGGGAGGGGAACATCACACACTGGGGCCTGGGAGGTGGGGGACTAGGGGAGGAATAGCAGGGGGTGGGGAGTTTGCGGAGGGATAGCATTAGGAGAAATACCTAATGTTGATGGGGCGATGGATGCAGCAAATCAGTACCACGGCATGTGTATACCTATGTAACAAACCTGCACAATCTGTGCATGTACCCCAGAACTTAAGAGTATAATAAATAAATAAATAAATAAATAAATAAAAGGAGATGGGTAGCATATCATTAAGTTGTCTCTAAACTTTGCTAAAAAGTTATACCTTATTTCTTTAACAACTAAAAACCATTAAAGGGTTTTAAACAGGGGGGTGACACAACAGGTTTTCTCTGCCCTTTGTCTATATTTCAGCTTTTCACATATTTGAAAACACCTTCCTTCCAAGTCTTCACTTCTTATACTAAACACCTAATGTTTCCTCAACATTCTTCATGATATGCCTGGCAAGCAGAATGGAACACTGGTTCTATTTGGATCAGATTTATAGTTAGATTAGGGTTTGAATCCCAGTACTGACATAGAACTAGGTAATTAAACTACAATTCCTCAACTGTACAGTTGAATTCCTCAACTGTAAAGGGAATGAAGAAAAAAACTTTTTACAAGCCTGCTGTGAGGATTACTAACCTGCCACATTGTTATACCTTCCTGGTCTCTGAAGATAGACTGGTTTGCCTAAAGCAGATGTGGTACACTCATGATCAAAGGACAAAGGATAGCGTAGCATGATGACTGCCTCCCTTTAACTGGGCATTAGGGTTCATTCCATGTTTTCTTGCAGTGACATCATAATGATGCCTTCTTTTGATTTGGGGGATAACAGTATATTATCTAAACATTTGTCTTATAAACTATTATCAAGAAAGATATGGGCGGGTGCAGTGGCTCATGCCTGTGATCTTGGCAGTTAGGCTGAAGCAGGAGGACTGCTTGAGTCCCTAAGTCAGAGACCGACAGGAGAAACATGGCAAGACCCCGTCTGTATTAGTTTGTTCTCACACCACTAATAAAGACATACCTGATAATGGGTAATTTATAAAGGAGCGAGATTTAATTGACTCATAGTTTAGCATGGCTAGGGAAGCCTCAGGAAACTTACAATCATAGTAGAAGGGGAAGCAAACACCTCTTTCTTCACATGGTGGCAGCAAGGAAAAGTGCAGAGCAAAGGGGAATAAAACGCCTTATAAAACCATCATTTTGTGAGAACTCAGCATCACAAGAACAGGATGAGGTAACTGCCCCATGATTCAATTACCTCCCACCAGGCCCCTCCTATGACACATGGGGCTTATGAGAACTATAGTTCAAAATCAGATTTGGGTGGGGACACAGCCAAATCATCTCTATAAAAAAATTAAAATGGCCAGGCATAGTGATGTATGCCTGTAGTCCCAGCTACTCAGGAGGCTGAGGCAGGAGGATCACATAAGCCCGGGAGTCTGAGACTGCAGTGAGCTAGGATTGTACCACTGCACTCCAGCCCAAGTGACAGAGAAAGACCCTGCATATGGAAATTAAAAAAAAAAAAAAAAGATATGGTCTAACATGATACTTATAAGTTTTATATTTTGGACATTCTTCTGGGTTATGAAAATAATGTTTTACTTTTTAAAAAGTGTGTGTGTGTGTTTACATGTTTTTCATTTTCTTTCTTTTTTAGCTAGGAATCTTCCTCTTTCTCTCTCCATCCTTTCTTCCTTTTCTCCTTCTCTTCCTTCCTCTTTTCTTTCCTGCCACCTAATTGTAGAATATATGCCCTTTGGGGTTTGGGGGATGGGGCTAGGAATCAAACAGTAGAAAACTTTATCTTTTAAATATTTTAAAACTCACATTCTGTCATTCAGTATATTTTCTATTTCTTCCAGTTTTGGACACCCGGACTACTATGTTACTCTATTGTGAGTAACTGATTTTTTTTTTTAAAGAAAGAATTATCCAGGTAATTCAGTTATTACAGATCTTAGTTATAAATTACCACATACTGTGAATAAAATCGTTCAAATAGATACACCTAAATGCTATTTCCTCCTTTGTTTTCCTAATTTAATTCTTAAAACTACTGAGTATATTATTATGCTAGGCATTGCAGTGGTCCCTTCTTTCTTGCTGGCTGTTACCCAAGAGTCCTTCTAAGTTCCAGAGGCCACTCTCATTCTTTCACTTATGGTGCCCTTTAAAGCCAGGAATAAAGGGTCAAGTTCCTCCTAGTGATTTGAATCTCATGATTTTCTTTCCTGCTATCATAAGCCTCACGACTTCATGAGATCACTTTCTGCTTTTCAGTCGTCTTTTTCCTGAATACATTTATTTTTAACATACTATAACTGAATGTTAGCTGGATATAGATTCTAATAAAAAGAACCCATAGTTTATTCATAAGATAATCATAAGGTGAGAAAAAAACAATTATGGTAAGTAACTAAATCACTCTGAAAACAAAGGAGTTGAACCACAACAAAAAGTTGGTGTCATGACAAATGCACCACACTTTATTCTGTGCCATCTTAAACAGTCTATTCCTCAAATGGCTAATACTACCATGTAATAAACTTTCATATCACAAACCCAGTTAATGTCAGGTTGTGTACAATGTGGGAGAAAATACTGGAACCCAAGGAATTTGCCCAGTGTTCTGAAATAGCAATACCAGACAGTAAGTAGTAGGATCTATTCCTAGCTTTTCTGGGTCAAAAAAAGTGACTGAAGAACCTGTAAAAAGCAGTGGAGCAACAGGTCAGGTGGGAGAGGCTCCTGCTCTCCTGGAGATGATCAGTATAACTGGTGAGGTAGAAGAAGGTATTTTTGTTGTTTTAACAACAAAGGGATTGGGAAGCTGTATTGTAAGCTGCAGAGACTTTGGAGCCAGAGAGACTTGGGTTCACATCCAAGAAACAAGTTACTTAACCTCTTGGTCCTTTAATGTGTAAACTGAGGGTGATAGGGTTATTTGGTAGAGTTGTTGTAAATATTAAACGAGATATTTTATATACAGAGTTTTCAACTTCGCACTTTAGAATCACTTGGAAAACTTAAAAACACACCATTAACAGGGTCTCATTCTCCAGATAATTCTTTCACATAGTCAGGCATAAGAAGTGGTTAGGAATCATGAGTTTATATAAAACACCTACGAGGCACTCAGAAACGGCAATTGTTTTTACTATACTCCTAGATATTCTCTTTGACACAAATAAAATCATGGAATCTTCAGAGTTGAAAGAGGACTGACCTAGTTTAACTTCCTATCCCATAAAGGTCACACATCCTCAATATCCATCCCAGCACTGTAGAAAAGTAGTCTAGTGTGTTGGCCAGAGCTGAGAATACTGGCTACAGAGTCAGTCTGACTAGGTTTAAATTTTGGCTCATCCTCTTCCTGGTTGTGAGGTGTTAACCAAGTATTTAATTGCTCTGTGCCTCAGTATTTCCATCTTTAAAATGCAGCACCTACTGCATAAGGTTGTTCTGAGTCAACACAGAAAAGCTCTAGGAATGGTACATGGCACTCAGTATGTAAAATGGTTGCAGGAACAAATGTATTAATATATCCCTGAATAAATAAACAAATGAAAAAATAAGATTGCCAGTCAGCTTCAATTTCACATTTAAATATTTCAGGTAAGTGAGTGAGCACATTCCGTCAATGCTCAGCTCTAGTTCTTAGTACACAGTATACTAAGCAGAAATCTACCTCCCTGCAACTTGGATCCACGTGACCCTTGCTTTTTCTTCTGAGAACACACAGAACAAGTTTTTCTGTGTACTTCGGCTATTCAAGTAATTGTAGTTGGCTCTCAGTTCTCTCCAGATCTTCCCTTTTCCCAGAGAAAGTATCCCAATTATTTCAATTATTCCTCAATGACAAGTTTCCAACTTTTCTTTACCACCCTGATAGCTCAAGAAGTTAATTCCTAATGCATCAGGTATCCCTCTTAATTTTATATGTTCTTTGTAAGATCTGAACACTTTCCAGAAGACAGCAACTACCACTTCTCTTCTTTCCAGAAGAGAGGAACTACCTTTGTAGACATTCATTGTATTCCTGTAAGGCAGTCAAAGTCTGGGTTCTAGACCATGTTCCACCTTTTACCAGTAAACTAGTTAGGTTTGGGTGTCCACTTATAAAACTAGCATAAATTTCCTTTCATTAGATTGAGATTCACAGAGACTGATGTATAAAACAGACTCTCGATTTTTACTTTGCAATGTGAAATACAGCTGTGGAGAAAAAAGTTACAGCTTGTATTTTTTAATGTTTACTATGTGTCAAGCACAGTTCTATTCTACACATAATATCACATAGTTCTCAAAATGACCCTATGAGGCAGGTGCCTTTTTAAAATATATTTATTTATTTGTTTTTATTTACTTATTTATTTGAGATGGAGTCTCGCTCTATCACCCAGGCTGGAATGCAGTGGTGTGATCTTGGCTCACTGCAACTTCCACCTCCTGGGTTCAAGCGATTCTCATGTCTCAGTCTCCTAGTAGCTGGGATTACAAGTGCCCCCACCACCGCCACCAAGCCCAGCTAATTTTGGTATTTTCAGTAGAGGTGGAGTTTCCCCATGTTGGCCAGGCTGCTCTGGAACTCCTGACCTCAGGTGATCCACCCAGCTTGGCCTCCCAAAGTGCTGGGATTCCAGGCATGAGCCGCTGTGCACGGCCTATTATTTTAAAATCTTGCTATCCGTTATTATTACTGTCATTATTTTACAGATGAGAAAGCACCGCATTTACTCTGAATCCTCCCTCTCGCCCAACTCATGTAGCTCATGTAAATGATTTCCAAGTCCTGTTACTAAGCAGCCAGTGATTAAGCCTTTTGAATTCCTCCTCTCCCTTCAATTCCTACTGTTCCTGCTGTCTCTCTGCAGTTCCAATCCTCATTGTGTCTCACTCTACATTACTGCGTCATACTTTGTCTTCCCTTCTCTAATCCATTTTCTACACGATCTCTTGTATTTCTGAAATACAGCTTTTAATGTATCACTCTTGTTTAAAACCCCTAATGGCTCATCATTGCCATCAAATAAGAGTTCAGATTCCTCGCCCTGGTGTAAATGTCCCTTGTCAGAATGTCTGTAGCTTATTGCAGCTCATCTATGGCCACTCTCTCTCCCCCTAGCCTCTTTAGCCCCTTCTCCTCTCAAAGGTTTTCATCAGTACGCACCCTGAGCAACTCAAGATTGACTGGACACACTGAGCAGCATACTTGTATGCGACTGTCTTTGCCTATTATTCAACAAATATTTATTGTGCACCTACTGTATGCCACCCATGTGCTAAGCACTTCACTTATATTATCCTATTGAATAATAACAACAACTCCATGAATTCGCATTATCACCTTCCTTTCTAGAGATGAGGAAGCCGAAGTGCAGAGGGGCCAGCGTGCCAAGCAGCCCTGGCACTTTACCCGCAGACTCACCGCTGCTCTCATCTGGTCAGGTCTAAGCGGTGCTCCTGCCACCTGGCTGGCTTCCACCCGCTCAGACTGACAGCATTCCGCAGGCAGGAACCATGCACGGTGTCCAGCTCTGAGCCGGAGAATAATACTCTGGCTTCAAAAGTGTGCTGAGCTACCGCAGGGAGGACGAAGGCTGTGTTTCAGCACAGCCTGGGGAACACTGGTCCAGCCTGAGAGCAGCACAAGTGGGGTTCATTGCCCTCTGAGTCATAAACAGATTTAAGGGGGAGGGTGGGGGAACTGCGGGCTGCTGAGATCCAAACTCACCGAAGGCACGGACCGCCGCCGCAGTTCCTCTCTTCGCAGCACCCGCCTGAGGCCTCCGTTTACTGCGGTTACCGCGGCAACGCCACCCCTCTTCCAGGCAGGATGAACCCGGCGGCTGTGGGGCGCATGCGCAGCAGGCGTCCAGCTTTGCAGGTGACCCAGCCCCGGTGACACCGGGAACCCGGTACCATCCGCTCTCTGGTCGGGCCTTTTCCGCCTCATGACACTGGTTCAAAGCCAAACAGAAAAGCCCGACGTTTATTATCCCCTAAAGGACGTCATGTAGATAATTAATTGACATGAATACTGTCGAAGATACCTGCCCGATATTCCAAAATGGCCCAATGGGGCCCTGATCGCGGCGTTCCTATGTTGAGGTTTTAACTTTGATTTTAAGAGGGGCCCTGGGAGATGGTAGACAGCTTGCTGGCAACATCAACAACAAAGATATATAGTGGAGTTTTTGTTATTTTTTAAGCTATATTATCTCTGTTGGCTTTTAAGAGTAAATAAGGTTTTATGGCATGGGTTTCTTGGTCGCAGGGCACAAAAGTAGCAACCTCCCTTGACAGATGTCCAAGTTTAGCAGTTTGGGCAACTTCTCTTAGTACGGTGGTCATACTGTTTTTAAAGTACTAGACTAACGTTATTAGTTACAAAATACTGTTTTTAAAACGGTTACACCATTGCAATATCTGACAAAGGACTTTGTATCCAGAATGTATAAAGAACTCTTATAATTCAATAAGAAAAAACTACCCAATTTCTTAAATGGGCAAAGGATTCAAATACTTTACCAAATCAGATATACGTATGGCCAATAAGCACATGGAAGGATGCTTAACAGTAGTCATAGGGGAGATACAAACCACAATACATGTAACTCCATATCCACAAAGGGGTAAAACTGTTCAAAGACTGCCAACACCAAATGCAGAAGGATATGGAGGACTTACATATTCTGCTGCTGGGAATGTAAAATGGCATAACCACTTTGGAAAACTATTTGGTAATTTCTTCAAAAGTTAAACATACACAAAGCCACTCCACATCCAAGATAGTCTAGAGACTTGGGCAAAGTGGTTGCATAGAACTTAGTGAGATGCACTGGAAAGAGACACAAGGAATCTTAGAAATAATCAACGCTGTGTCTTAATTGTGGCAGCAATTATGGGTATATACAACTGCCAGAAGCCAATAAACTGTTCTCTTTAAATGGATATATTGTATATAAATTATTTCTCAATAAAATTGGCAAGAAAAAAATTGCTATAATTTATTAGTTTCCACAGTATTACATAAGTACCATGCACTTATCTGCAATATGGAAATGTCCTTGCTATTATTAAATGGTATATATAGGTGCCAGAAAAGATAAAAATAGGGTAAACTTATTTTTAAATAGCATATTTTCAAATCATATGCACAGCACGTTTTCTTTCAACCTCTAGATATCTTCTCAGGTGAAATGTCTCTAAATTTCAAGCGCTGTGTGCAATTGTTAATCTGAGAAAAACAATAAATTCACTATACAATGTCTTTTAAAAATGGAAACGGGGGATACAGTGTATTTATTTATACACACAAAAAAATTGGCAGTGATCATTACTGAGGGCTTATGAGCCAAGCTCTGAGCTCAGGCCATTTACATATGCTTGCCTCACTTAATCCTCACAAACCCCGAAGGAACACATTATTATGTCTAACTTTCAAATGGAAAGGATGAGACTAATTTGTCCAAGGTACATAGCTCAAATGGCAGAAATGGCATCTGAAGGCAAGTTTTCTGGTTTCAGTACTTGGATCCTCAGCTACTGTACTATATTAGTTCCCATAACTCATTAGGAAAAGTCCAATAATTGCAAGTTCAAGTCTTGGCTTTATTTCTTACAAGCACTCTGTCATTAGACAACTTTCTTCACCTCTAGGGCTCAGTTTCCTCATCTGTAAAGGTGTTGGGAGAGGAGGAAGCATTTACATACCTCTAATTCATAAGGCTACTAAGAGATTTAAATGAGATAATGGTGATTATCTTACAGTGTCTGCAACAGTAATGGCTCAATAAGGAATAGCTGTTGTTATTATTATGCTACTTCCATACTACACACACTGTAAAACACATTTACTCTCCATCGAGAAGCAGCCCAGCATAGGCTTCAGAGAAAGACTGCTTAAGTTCCCATTCTAGTGCCACCACTCTCTAGTTGTGTGAACTTGAGAAGATACCTCATTGAACTTCAGTTTCCTCATCTGCAAAATGAAGATAATAGTACCTATCTCATAAGGTGTCATGAAGAACATAAAGTGGCTACAACAGTGCCTAGTACATAGTTAACAGTTATTGTTAACAGTTAAATTATTATTAAATTCTGCTAACCAAAATCATTTTGTTGTACAGCATAGGAATGATTATATCATAACTGTGGATGTTATCAATTCAGTATCTCTGCCAACCTGTAATTTGGAAAACTATAAATTTCAGGTTGAACAAGTTATTAGCTGTTTTCTGGGGCATATTAGAGAAGTCACATGTTATCCAAATATATGATTCTAAACAAGTAATCCCAGTTTGAACTGTTAAAAGCAAATACAAATGTAGTACATCATAGTCAAACATAGCAGAGTTCACCCATATCCAGTGCTATAGATCAGCAGCACGAATCAGAATTACCTGAATAGGCTTTCTTTTTTTTTTTTTTTTTTTTTTTTTTTTTNTTTTTTTTTTTTGAGATAGATCTCACTCTGTTGCCCAGGCTGGAGTGCAGTCGTGGTGTAATCTCAGCTCACGGCAATCTCTGCTTCCCAGGCTCGAGCAAATCTCCAGCCTCGTCCTCCTGAGTAGCTGGGACTATGGGTGTGAGCCACCAACACTCAGCTAATTTTTGTAGAGACAGGGTTTCACCACGTTGCCCAAGCTGGTCTCAAACTCCTAAGTTCAAAGCAATCTGCCACCTCAACCTCCCAAGGTACTGGGATTACAGATGTGAGCCACTGTGCCCAGCCCCAAATGGCTTATTAAGACAGACACCAGAGTTTCTGATTCAATAGGTCTGTGGTGGGACCCAAGAATTTTCATTTCTAACAAGTATCCCAGGTTATGCTGATGCTGCAGGTTTACACTTTGAGACCTACTTATGCAGAGGGGTCTGCAGGCTGGTAAAAGAGGCCCAGCCGGGCACAGTGGCTCATGCCTGTAATCCCAGCACTTTGGGAGGCCGAGGCGGGCGGATCACGAGGTCAAGCGATCAAGACCATCCTGGCTAACATGGTGAAACCCCCTCTCTACTAAAAGTACAAAAAAATTAGCTGGGCGTGGTGGCACGCACCTATAGTCCCAGCTACTCGGGAGGCTAAGGCAGGAGAATTGCTTGAGCCCGGGAGGCGGAGGCTGCAGTGAGCCAAGATTGTGCCACTGCACTCCAACCTGGCACCTGGTGACAGAGTAAGACTCTGTCTCGGGCGGGGGGAGGGGAGGAGGCCCCAAGGTAGTTTATCACTTCAAATCAAAGGATCACCAATTTATGATTTGGGGGTGACAAGTATCTTTATAATGTTTCCCAAATTTGGCTGCACACCAGAATCATCTGAAGACGTTCTTAAAAATGCTGATGTTTGTGTACCGCCACAAGGGATTCTAGTTTAATTGATCTGTGTGAGACAATGGCAATGGGAATTTTAGAAGGTCCCTAGATGACTAATGGCAGCCAAAACGGAGAAGCACTGCCTCAGAAGGCCTAAGAAAGAAAAGGCTCTTTTCCTTTCATCTATTATTCTTGGAGTTTTTTCAGTCTACTTTTCTATTTTATCAGCAAAACCAATGTTAACAGGATGGACACTTAAATGTCGGTCCCAAGGGTTACCAGTGAACTAGTGATACAAGTCTTTTGCAATAGTTGTGAAACTGGGCTGCACACTGGAATCATCTTGAGCAGCTTTTTAAAATACCATGCCAATACCACCCCTAGGTAGTCATTTGGTGTTAGTATTTTTTTAAATGCTCCCCAAGCTGAGAATCATGGCTTTTAAGGTTTAAAGGAATATAGAATGAAAAAAATTAAGAGCCAAAAAGTTGAAACATTAGGGAAAATGTATGTCAAAATAATACATTCACAAACAAGAAGAAACTTGACATTTCAATATTATAAGGAGTAACACTAAAATTAGGCTTATATCCCAGATAGGGATAGTATCTATTGAACACTGAGTTTCAAAAAGTGCAATACAGATGAAAGAATCTGCAGTAATGCAAATGAACACAGATGACTTCACATAAAAAATCCAGTGACATTTAAATAATTATTTCTTCCACCACAAAAATGAAAAGGCCCAAGTAAAAGCTGCAAAGGATACTTCGTAGAACAGTGATTTACAGCTATAGCAGAAAAGTTATCCAAGTGGTTCAATGTGCTGTTCCACTCCACTTCCATCTCACTCAGGTTGAGAATTCCTATCATAGGGCCAAGGGGCAGAGCTCATTTAAAAAAAAAAGTTTAAAATAGAAATCAACATCTAAGAACCAAATGGGTACCTGGAAAAATCCACTCTGAGCCGGACGCAGCAGCTCATGCCTGTAATCCCAGCACTTTGGGAGACCAAGGCAGGTGGATCATTTGGGGTCAGGAGTTTGACACCAGCCTGGCCAATATAGTGAAATCCTATCTCTACTGAAAATACATAAATTAGCTGGGTGTGGTAGCCTGTACCTATAATCCTAGCTACTCAGGAGTCTGAGGCAGGAGAACTGCTTGAACCTGGGAGACTGAGGTTGCAGTAAGCCAGATTGAGCAACTGCACTCCAGCCTGGGCAACAGAGCGAGATTCTGTCTCAAAAAGAAAAAAAGAGAAATCTACCCTGAAATACTGCTTAAATTCAGGGCTGGGAAAACCGATAGCAACGTTTTCTATTTAATTGTTTGAAACATTCAATATAAATCAGTGTTACCATTAAATCAGTGTTACCACATTTAGGCATTTGAGCTCTAAAATCATTATTTATTTGATTTGCATTACCATTATTGATGACATTTCCACATTTCAAAACTATGTAAGATTTTGTAATAACTACAACCGCTCTTACCTGCTTAAGCAAATATAAACAAATACTCCCACATCTATTTTTTTAAAGTTGTATATTTCACTTGACAGAAAAAGTGACAGACAGCAATGACATCCCATCAAAAAAGAAAGAAAAGTGGATGCTGCATTTTCCTGAAGGCCAGACTCTACTCACACAGAGGAATTTTATTTTAAGTTCCACTCAAAGCAAATTAGTTCTTCGGGGGAGGGGGGGGAATGAAATGGATCAACATTTAAGATGCACTAAACCTCAAAAAAACCTGAATAAAGATGACAATGGTAAAAATGTATTCATCAAAAAAAGACCCTTAAAATTCTTAAGAAAGTATTAAAATACAAAATTTTACTTCTGTACAGTCAAAATTTCATTCACCGGGAACTGCAGGCCAGTTGGTTTCAACTGCAGGCTAGTTGAAAACTTATTTGAAAAAGTCAAAAAATAATTGCTTTGTTTCTTTGTTATTAATTCACAGGATCTTTGTAGGTTTTACTTGAAAGGATATAAAAACTTAAAAGCAGGGAAACGGGAGTGGAAGGTCAAAAATAAGTTACTAAGAACAAACTCCGTGAGACTTGACTTATGATACATGGGTAGAAAGAGCAAACCAGCCTTCTTCATTCTGTTTTTCAATCTGTTGAACAAAGACAGAACAAATTTTGATTGTAATCAGAAATATGAGACTACTAAGATTTACAGATCATTTAGACCAAGTGCATAAAACAAAGTCATCCTGTGCCACTGAATGGTACTGGAAATTAAATTGCTACTGGCAACGTTTATTTTCTAACAGAGATACTATCAAATAACTAATCCTCTTACTGATTTAAGAGGTAAGATCTACTGGTCAACAGATCCTCTTTTTGATTTAAGAGCCCAGTGTTTTATAGATATCATGGATACAAATTTTTTAAATGATAAAAAGACAATTATTTGGTCTTAGCAAATCAAATGTTACTAAATTCTAGGAACTAAGAATAATTTATATAAAATAGCTTACTTTAAAGCTTTTGTAGCATATAAGAAGTAGCAAAGAACAAAGCTCCTAGTACTGGACAATTCAGGTATATACGCCTACCATTTAATTTGAACTAAAAACACCCACTCTTTGATCTAATTACTGAACTCAGTAATAAGAAATGCAAAGATTTTCCAATGTCAGACAGTTGTTGGCTCAAGTATACAAAATTAATTTTTACAATTTAAAAAATATCCTCACAATTTACTATAACCACTCAAAGGAACTATATTTTCCTATACTAGCACCATAGAAAAATGCCTTCTGCAAAAATTTTGAATATACTGTGAAATGCTTAGCTTCTATACATACATGTGGCACATTAAAATACATGAAGAAAACATTAAGACATTTATTTTTCCTGGTACCATAACTTATCTAACCAATGGCACAGTCAGGTATGGCACACAGGGATAAAGTGAGAGGAAAAGTGACTGGACCTAGTGCTCTGGCTGTCCCAGACCCCACCCAGTCACAAGGACTGCAGGAAACAACAGCTCAGAAGATCTACAACCCATTCAAGGCACACCTGTGTCTCCTGCCAGACTATTTGGGAAGCTCAACCTGAAACCAGTACTTTCCAGTCTTTAAGGACTGCTGAATATCCTACTGAATTTTACCTTATTCCTTAGTTACCTTAAAAAACAGAAGTAGTTTATGGCTTGTTTTCCTAATGAAGGTAAATTAATATTTCTTTTAAGAATTTCATATCAGCTTTAGGATAACAGGAATAGTAATGAAGAATGGAAATCACTAAATCAACCACCTTCCACCCTCACCCTCACCCTCACCCTCACCCTCACCCTCACGACCCCTACATACATTTCATAATTACACTTTATGGTGTACCTTTGCTCTTGGATTAAGAGGTGTGAATCTCCCACTTCCTGAGGTGGCATTTAGTGGAGAACAAGAATTACTAGTAGCCCCGGAAGATCTATTTATGAAAAATAAAAGAATAAGAGAGTGAGCTATCATTATTAACTTTAAAAGATTATACAAACAACTGACAATTCTCAACACTGGCAAGAGCTTGAAAACAAACGGCTGACTTAGGTCCAAATGAGGTACATCATTTGTAACTTATTTTCACCAACCTGTAAGTCTTTTGTTAATTGATAATGATATGGTTTACCTGTGTCCCCATCAGAATCACAACTTGAATTGTATCTCCCAGAATTCCCCTATGTTGTGGGAGGGACCTAAGGGGAGGTAACTGAATCATGGGGGCTGTTCTTTCCCATGCTAGTCTCATGAGAGTAAGTCTCATGAGATCTCATGGGTTTAACAGGGGTTTCCGCTTTTGCTACTGTTTCATTTTGCTTCTTCCTCATTTTCTCTTGCCACCACCATGTAAGAGGTGCCCTTTGCCTCCTGCCATGATTCTGAGGCCTCCCCAGCCATGTTGAACTGTAAGGTCAATTAAATTCCTTTTTCTTCCCAGTCTAAGTTTTTATCAGCAGCATGAAAATGGACTAATATGGTAAATTGGTACCAGTAGAGTGGGGTGCTGCTGAAAAGATACCCAAAAATGTGGAAGTGACTTTGGAACTGGGTAACAGGCAGAGGCTGGAACAGTTTGGAGGGCTTAGAAGACAGGAGAATGTGGGAAAGTTTGGAACTTCCTAGAGACTTGAATGGCTTTGCTCAAAATGCTGATAATGATATGGACAATATTATCCAGGCTAAGCTGGTCTCAGATGGAGATGAGGAATTTGTTAGGAACTGAAGCAAAGGTGATTCTTGTTATGTTTTAGCAAAGAGAATGGTGGCATTTTGCCCCTCCCCTAAAGATTTGGGGAACTTTGAGAGAGATGA